CACTGCCTGGACCCTGGATGGTGGCTCTAATCCCTTATTCAATGGGTGACCTTATGTGAGTCGCTTTGACCTCCCTGAACCAGCTTCCTTGCCTACAAAAAGTGGACAGATAATAGCCTCTTACTTCAGCATCCTGAGATTAAGTTTATATACAAAATGTTCAAAGCAGCTCCAGGTTCTCTTTAAGCACGTAGTATTCTGCTGTGGAGGGACAGTGTCCAAGGCCCAATTTCCCTACCCAGCACCACAGGTCCCTTCTCCACCTGGCATTCTGCCCTAACCCACACTTGTTTGCTGACCAGGAAAGTGACAAGTCTTGTGTCACCCCAGCTGCAGGACTAGAGGCATAGCAAAGTAGGGGCTTCTGACAGCCAGGTGAAGCTTTCCCAGGGACTGCTTTGCCAGGTTCTCTGCAGGGTGGAATCATGGCCAGGAAACCAGATGGGGCAAGAGGAAGTGGTCCGGCTGTAGGCACGGAGGTGCGGCAGGGTTCTGAGGCCCCACAGGGAAGATTTGAACTCTAGAAGGCCACACAGGCTGGAAGCAGGCTGTGGGAGCAGCCTCAATTGGCTCCTTATTGGGCCATCTCCCCCTCCCTGAGGGCTGAGGCCTCTTCACCATCTGCCACTCCAGCTGGGCCCAGTCAGGGGGGCCAGAGCCTCCAGAGCCTCGCCCAGTTCTGACTCAGCTAGAGTCCTCCTCATAGCTGATCATGCTGGGCTCCTGCCTCACTGGGAGAACAAGCCCCGGCTTCAGTACCCTCAGGCCCCCATCTTATCCCTGACCACCTCACCTGCCCTAAAACTGTGCCTTTCACCTAGACTGCTTGCCAAATTCTCTCAGAGCACGTCTTGACATTACATTATACCTGAGATCACATTTGTGACAAGTCTCAGATTTAGACTTTTGTGGCTTACCAGATGACATGCACAACACGTTAGAGCATTTTATATCCAATATATCAGGGCCCTGAAAAGTTAATGGTAGGTTGGGTGCAATGGTGCATGCCTGTAATCTCAAAGGCTCAAGAACCTGAGGCAGGAAGATCATGAGTTCAGGGCCACCCTCAGCAACTTAGCAAGGCCCTAAGCAAATTAGCAAGAATTAAGTCAAAATAAAAAAATTAAAAAGGGGTGAGGGGGCTGGGGTTGTGGCTCAATGGGAGAGTGCTTGCCTAGCACGAGTAAGGCCCTAGGTTCAATCGTCAGCACCACATAAAAATAAATGAATAAAATAAAGACACTGTGTCCAACTACAACTAAAAAATAAACATAAAAGGGGGGAGGGCCTGGGGATATGGATCAGTGGTTAAGCACCCCCAGGTTCAATCCCTGATACAAAAAAAAAAAAAGTCAATGGTGAAGGATGGTGTTGGCTTTTGGAAGGTCTAGATTTCAGGCCTGGCCCTACCTCCCCAGATCTACTCCCCCACCCATCTCCCTTCAGTCCCTTTGAGACCTGTCCCCTAGTTGGCTGGGTGGGGGGTATGGAGAACATGCTCAGCCTGGTCTGACCACAAGTGCCTCAAATGTCATGAAGTTTTCTGAAAACAGCCAACATTCACCTGAAGTCTC